ATGCATCATTCTCTACTGTTGGTTATATTGGTTATGTAATAAGTCGACTTTACAATATAACATTATCGAATATAATGTGATACATATAAATAGATGAATGGCTAAAACAGAATATAGCATTAGATTAGACTTTCTATATGAAAATACACATATGAAATCAATTTGTATCACAAATTTATTTAGTCAATCAGAATATCAATCAACAAGTTCATCACTTTACAAACATTATTCTGTTTATTTAACATCCGCAAACCGATGGCCAAATTATTGCATATTCAATTATTATTAACATGAGAAATTCTACATACATCTATTGCAACTTAAACTCCTCTTCGGTGTTAATAAATAACTTTAACTTATTTAAAAAAAAAATTATTAAAGAAACAATATATTAGTTACAGATATACGTACTTCAATTAATAATATGTTTAAATTGTGAATAGTTATATTAGCATGATAGTTCTACAATCTAGGTAATTATACAGTCTAGGTAATTATGGATATATACTTTAAAAGCTTCAAAAGATTAGTAGCCAGTAATTTTAGTTTTCATATGTATTAGATGAGTTTAGCATCACACTTTATAAAGAAAAATGATTTTTATTACATTATATTAATTTGCGAGAATCTATATATCGATTTAATATAATTTCAGGATAAATAGTCCATCATTATAAAGACAAACTTAGTTTCGCTCAATTCGCAGGGGATACGTGAGATGTTTTCTACTATAATGATTAATCCGTAATGACAAACACGATTTCATTAAATTATAATTAAATTTAACAGCGAAGAATCACTGGTGGTAAAGTTATTTCTAAAAATAATTTGCTAATGATTCAAATAAATACGTGTTTTGTATAAATTTCGTATTAAGTCGAACTAAATTATCATTGAGAATATAAAATATACTTTAATGTACACATATATACTTTATTAATATCTCTTGAACATTTTCAGATTCTACATGTGTGCTGTTAGGAATACTAATAATCAGTATTAGATAATATTCGGGGTTCAAGATGTCCAATTAAAAATATGTACATATCTAATTCTTAAATCTTTCAATCAGTTTTTAAAATTTTATATATTGTAATCAATTAAATTATAATTTTATTGAATACAATATATAAAATTAT